GAATTACAAAAAAAGCCATTAATTTTTTTTTACAAAAAACCCCCTACCCTTGTACCCTTTGGAAATAACTGTTTAAAATTTAGTCATCGATGATTTTTCAAAATTGACATGAACAGTAAATTAGCCATTTAAAAATTAGCCGTTGAGATTTAAAAAATTATCATGAATAGTAAGAGAAATTTTATAAATTCTCAATTCACTACACAAATCATTCCACACAACTCTCTCATAAAAAAAACTCTATATTTTCCTATCAAATTACAAATCTCATGGATCCCTCCCACAACTTTTATTCGCAACTCCTTACCGGTGAAGGATCGGCCTTCGGACCGTCGTTCTACACAGACGTCGTAGAAGAAGGTCACCCCATCCATAAGTTCTCACAATTGGCAACACAACAAGTGTCATCCCAAGAAATACCGACAACAAGTGACATAAATTAGAACTAACATGATACAAATTAGAACTAACATGGTACAAATTAGAACTAATATGTCATAAATTAGAACTAATATGATACAATTAGAACTAATATGGCATAAATTAGAACTAACATGACACAAATTAGAACTAACATGGTACAAATTAGAACTAACATGACATAAATTAGAACTAACATGACACAAATTAGAACTAACATGGTACAAATTAGAATTAACATGACATAAATTAGAACTAACATGGTTCAAATTAGAACTAACATGACATAAATTAGAACTAACATCGCATAAATTGAAAGTAATGGGTAACAAAAATAAGATAAAAGAGGGATTTTTTTGATATTGTTGGAGCTCCTAACTAGGAGCTTGTTGGAGATCAACATTAGTTAGGAGGGTGATGTTGCATTGAAAATGACGGGCCATGGTCTTGAGAGGGCTTGAGAGCTCTCTAACAAGGACTCCTAACTAGGAGCTTGTTGGAGATGCTTTTAGGACTAAGACCGAGTTTGTCAATAATTCCACTGTCATAAACTGAGACTTGGCTAATTGATTTGTTTTAAGTGATAAACCAAAGTCTAGGTTTTCATGGGCTTGTTTGTCTTTATCCTAAAATTTGAATGTTTTATGTACAAGGATTCTCATCTAAGTTTTTGTTTTTTCTTTGATCCAAGTTTATGTACCTTGCATCATGAACATGTTGGTTAAATTCTACAGGCCACTAGTTGGAACTTGGAAGAAGCTATCCAGTTATTCTTTCTTGGTAATGAAGGGGGCAATGGCGTAGCTTCATCTTCCATCCCTCCGCAAGCTGATAACAATCCCAGGTGAGTTGGAGAGGTGTTTTTAGAATCTTTCATGGGAACTCTTGGGTGCAGAAAGATGAAAATTCTGCTGTTACTTACAGTGAGTGGGAGAATCTTGCGCCCAATGAAAATGTCGGGGATGTTGTTGGTGATGATGAAGTACGCGCTCCATTGCCAGTTAAAAGAGAGACTCTTTATGGAGATGCATCCTTTGCTAGGTACGCCTCTTGTACCTTGTCATACATATTTCTAACAACTGAAAAGGTATTGCCACATGTTGTTTTCATTGACGGATTTATTTTTGCTTAGCTATGCAAAATGATGTTAAGAAATTATTTGGCAAATTTTTTTTAGATAAACTACATTGAAAACTATCAAAATTTATGTAAATCCTCCAATTCCCTACCAAATTTTTTGTGTAACTGTCTGATAGAAAATTTTACAGTACCACAAATTTTTACTAAATTCTACATAATGCTCTTCCAATTTTTTATGAGCTATTCTAGTTTGAACCAGATTTTCACATAAGTACCCAACTTCTAACCTAAATTTAAAGTACACAACTCCTAACCAAATTGTTTCATAACTATCCTATGTGTACATGCCTTTTACATGACTCTTTAACACAAATAGGATCTCAAAAAATGTACATTGATAGTTTGACCAGATTGTTGTTTAACTTTCTCATGCTGGCTCTTGTTTTCTTTAGGTTGCAACCTAGTTCAGTAATTGCATTCCGCAATTTTGAAGAAGAATCAAAACGACCAGCTGTTTGGGAATCAGATCAAAGTGCTGCATCGACAGCAAATGGATCCCGAGATAATCTTGCTTCCTTATATCGGCCACCCTTTGCTTTGATGTATCAAGGATCATTTGACAAGGTAGTCCTATCTTTTTAGTTGAGGTGCTTTTTACTCTGTTTGATTACCTTAATATTTAGCGCCTCACTTCTATATATATCATCCATATACCTTTACGTTTGTTTTTTCGTTGCATTTTGGATTTAGTTACTAATTCCTTCTGCATAATTGAGTGACTGAAAAATTTCTAACCCGGATAAAGGAACCACTTTTTAACCAGTAACGATGGATAGAATAGAAACTTCAAGTATTACATCTCTATTTTCTGGCCTTCCAAATGCGTCACTGGATAATACTCATAGCTATCGTCGTGCTTGCTATTGAATTCATTATCAGCAATTCAATCTTCAAAGAAATTGTGATATTTATCCTTAAACATTTGATTGAGTTAAATATTAGCTGCATGAAAACTTCGATAAAAGACAAGTTAGGCTTGTTAAGAAGCTAGGTAGCACGGATATGGACACGAGACACGGGAGATTTGTAAAATGTAGGATATGGGGACACAACTATATATATACACACACACATACATACATATATACATACATGCATATATGCATATATGAGAATAATGTGTATGTTAAGAGTTAAGTTAAATCAAACTATGAATAAAGTTTTAACAACAAAAGTTTAGTTTTGACCGCATGGGATAATACGATGGGTATTTTTTAAAATATTTAAATAATGAGCTTCAGTTTTTGGGTTCAAAACTGATTGGTTTTGAACCCAATATTACCAAAAAAGCTAGTTTAGGGTATAAGTAACTGGAAAATCGGGTTTTACTTTGAACCATACATGTCCATGACGTGTCTGCGAAGAATCTGTGTCTAACATGTGTCAGACACGGGCACAACATCCAAAACATTTTGTCCAAGTATCCTAGTTAAGAAGCTTTTTCATTTCCATTGGGAGATGAATTTAGCAAAAAAAATATATGAGTTTGCTTAAGAGACAACATTCAAATATGTTGAATGACATTGACACTCATTATACAATTCTATACATGTGGTACCTTAATTTTAGATGACATGTCTCACAAAGTTGACTGTCACATAGTTTGAGTTGCAGGCAGCAGGGATAGCACTTGAACAACATTTTATTTGCCTTATAAGCTGCCTTATAACTTTCAACCTCAAATTCAAGGACCGGCATTGTCAGTGTGGTTAGCATGTATTTTGAAGTAAGTTTCCCAAACTGTCATGGATCCTGTGGACATTATCTCATGCA